GGAAGACCAAGAGATACATGAAAATATGCTCAAAGTCACTAATCTTCAGAGAGATTCAAATAAAAACAAAAATGTGGTACTATCTTACACCTGTCAGAATGGCTATCATCAACAAATGTCAAGTGTTGGCAAGGATGCAGAGAAAAGGAACTCTTTTACACTGCAGGTGGGAGTGCAGTCTGGTGCAGCCACTGTGGAGAACAGTATGGAGTTTCCTCAAAAAATTAAAAATGGAACTCCCATTTGACCCAGTGATCCCAATTTGAGGACTACATCCTAAGAAAGTAGGACCATGAATCAGAAAGGATATATGCACCCCTATGTTTATAGCAGTACAATTCACCATAGCTAAGATTTGGAAACAGCCTAAATGCCCATCTGGATTAAAAAAACTGGTACATCTACACAATGGAATACTATGCTGTGGTTAAAAAGGAGTTCCTACTATTTGCAACAACCTGGATGGAGATGGAGAGCATTATACTAAGTGAAATAAGCCAGGCAAAGAAAGATATACATCACATGATCTCACTCATTTGTGGAATATAATGAATGGCATAGACTGATGAACAAGTACAGATCCAGAGACTGAATAACGTTGACCAGAACCTCAAACCTCAGGGAAGGCGGGGATCGCTGGGAGTAAGGGTGAGAAATCAACCAAGGGACTTGCATACATGCATATGAGCCTAATTAATGGACACAGATAACAGGGGGATGGGGCATGAGTGGGGGGTAGAATATAATGGGAGGATAAGGACACATATGTAAAATAATAATAATAATAATAATAATAATAATTTTAAAAAAAAAGTTTGAGGTAACCAGAACAGCAAGAACCCCTGAGAGTGTCTTTCCTGCCATGTTAGCAGTCATCAGCTGTACAGTAATATTACCTGGGACAAATGGGTAAGTTTTTTTTTTTTTTTGTTCCTGACCCCTCATGGATGGAAGCCCTTATGTGGACTGATCCCCCTGCCTAATGTAGTCACTGATGATTCCAAATACATGGGTCATCCAGGAGGATCACTGGTGGGGCAGGGAAGTATAATTACATAGGGGTCACTACCCAGCTTCCCTTTTGAATGACACAAAATCAAACCACTGCTCCTTTGTGTATAAAATTAAAGAGAGGTTTTTGACTTGCATGGATACCAAAAGAAGGGACCATCACTACTTCCTCCTGGGAGAGGTGCAGAAAATGTAACTTGTCTATACAAAAAGAAATTGACAGCCAGTTTGAAATGGAATTGCCATGGCCTAGAGCAAAGAATATCCTTACATGATATTATTCTATAAGGTCATTATAATTTTACCCAGATTTGTGTTACTCCCATTACCTATAATAGTACCTCACACCCTTGGGAATCAATAGAAAACCATCCTTTTGGTGCTTGGAGACAAAGGTAACACATCTCTTGATATTTTAGTTACAACAACATAATGTATAATTATCCCAAACAAACTTACAAACTAATTCTTTGAATATCTAGCAGCAATTTAAAAAGGACATGAAAGGATTTAATCCCTTTCACTGTGTAGAGGGCCCCCTGGGAAGGCACCTGAGCATTTTATATTGGCCCCTATTGCCCTTTTGGCCAAGTGGACCCACTTCTCAGTGTTCAGTTCTTCAAAGCTGTTGCCTGAGCTTTCTGTTCATGCCGAGGTTGAAACATCATAGTGGCTGGTACCATGGATCTCTCTCCCGCCCAGTGGGGTGAGTTGGGCCCTCCCTGGAGAAGAAACCTGGGTTCCCCAAGATATGAGATCAGTGCTGGGGCCTTGCCAACAGGCGAGGGGTTCCCAAAGCATGTGTTGGGCATGGAGGCCACAAGGGGCATAGGCTACCAAGGAGATAGGACTTAACCTAATATTACCCTGCTTGGCTCAGGAAGATGGCTGGTTAGCCAGAGATGGGTAAGATTCATTTGTAATGCTAACAGCAAGACACCCATAAAAAACACTCATGGTGTCAAAACAAGCCAGAGGAAAATCATTTGGGCAAAAAATGAAAAAGGATTCCAAGTCAAATTTATAGAAAATATTCTTTTACTAACTTTTGGTCGAGAATATGTTTGTATACTTTCAGAAAACTACTCCAAGACCATGTGCATTTCTGCAATGGAGAAGAATTGACAGGACTGCTCCAGCCATGACAACAGAAGAGAAACAGTCTAGAGATGGAAGACGCTGACAATGCCATGCCATACTATTAGACAGCAGCTGTGTGTTACTGAAGGTTGCCCAGAATCAAACCAGAGAGGGTCAGACCTGCATCCACCATTCAGAACTGAAATATCATTGCTGACATGTACACATAAGAAACTGTTTGACATTGAAATTGGGACTCAAAAGAACTGCTGGCCCAGAAAAAAAAACTCACTACAGACTAATTCATTTGCCTTTCAGCATAACCATTATGGCTAGTCTTATTTTTGGTTCTTATAAGTGTATTTCTTGTATCACATGATGTCATGCATCTAGGGGAAATAATGAACAATATAAACTGATGATGAAAAACAGATCTGGAGACAGAGAAGCATTGATCAGACTCTCAAACCTCAGAGGGAAGGTGGGGGAGAGTGGGGAAAGGGGGAAAGATCAACCAAAGGACTTGTATACATGCATATAAGCCCAACCAGTGATCACAGACAAAAGGAGCTTGGGGGAATATGTGGGGAGGTGTTTGGGATGGGAATGGGGGGATGAGGACAATTATGTGATACCATAATCCATAAAGAAATGTAAAAAAATAAATAGAAAATAACATTGAAAAAAATAAAAAAATGATAAAATGGGTTTAGTAATAGAACCAGCCTCATTGGAATGTTACTGGATGTGCATAAAATTATGCACGTAAGGCTCTCAGCCAGGTGCTTGACAGGTACCAAGCCTCCTTTGCCACTGTGATTATCTGCCCCCTATCCTCAGGAGGCTTAGGAATCCCAGTGATTAACAGGCAATGTAGGAAGGTGTGGAAATTGGCTGCTTCATTTCCTGGGGCCCCTAGGAGAACTCAGATCCCAGATTCCTAGGCAAGATGGCTCTGCAATCTGAAACCCCTCAGTGTCAGGAGTCCAGCCAGGTCCCAGCATGAGCTCCCTGGGTCTCAGGGAAATACCCTCTCTTCTCAGCACTGTCCTGTCCTGCATCAGTTGTCACTTACAGCGGGAATCCCTACGTCAGCTGTGTTCACATTTGTTTCCCCCCCCCCCCACTCCATGTGCCTCCCAGCTCTGCCCTGCACTTGAGCAAACCATTTAACCACTCCCCGCCTTTGTTTTCTCATCTGAAAGCTGGGAATAATAGTGCTGGCCTCCTGGGGTTGTTGATCAAACCAGGTCACCAGGTGAAGCACTCAGAAGAGTGCAGGGGCTGTTTTAAGTGGCCCTTCAGTGCCAACTGCTCTGTTACTGCTGTTCAAAGGTCACTCTCCTAGGAGTAGGGGTTCTGTGAGGTGCAACTGTCCTGTGAAAACCCTGCATGAGAATCTTCAGCCTCTTTCAGAAACTAGGAGCTCATTAGCATACTAAACCACCTGTAAAGGACTTTCTGACTCCTATAAGCATTAACAACAAAGGGTAAAAAGCCTGAGGCCCTGCCTGAATGTCTGTCCTGTATACCAATAGGTTGCTGGTTAGGCTCCCTGTCAGGACACATGCCCCAATTGTGGGCTCAATGTTTCTCTTTCTCTCTCTCTTCCTCTCTTTTTCTCTCTCAAATAAATCATAATATGTTATAAAAAATAAAGTTGGAAGTGAAGCCGTTATGGTCCCATGGTTGCAAACTCTAGAAGAAAATACAACTCAACAAGAATCAGACACTCTTTAAATAGGAAATTATAGCAATAAAAATAACATAGAATTCCAACAAGGAAGAAAACATGCATCAAAAGAATCTACATGGCTACAGGGGAAATCCCTAATGAACCTAGATTTTAGAAGTCAAACTGGGAAAAATGTATTTGCAGTAATCTACACTAATAAAAGTGTAAGATGCAAATTGACGGTACCTTGGTGACTCTCACCAGCCAACCAGGAGTGAGTATGCAAATTAACCCAACTAGATGGTGTGTTAATTTGCATATGGAGGCGGGGCAGGACACTGGTGCTCTGTGCCACTCAAGGCCTCTAGACAGCATTTGAAGATGGAAAGGTGACTCCAGGCTAGAGCAAAAAGGCAGGTCCAGTCAGAGCAAAAGCAGTGCCGGCAGCCAGAGAAATGAAGGCCCATTTTTGCACGAATCTTCGTGTATTGGGCCTCTAGTAGTTAATAAATGGTTAGTATCTTTAACACATAAAGAGTTCAGTCAAACCTTATATAATAAAAGCCTAATATATAAATCGACCAAACTGTGGAATGACAGTGGAACGACTGGTCCATCTGATGCTTACTGGCCACCAGGAGGCAGATGCTCAATCCAAGAGCTGCCCCCTGGTGGTCAGTGCACTCCAATAGGGGAAGAGTTGCTCAGCCAGAAGCTGGGCTCACAGCTGGTGCCCGCAGTGACGGTGGCCGAAGCCTCTCTCGCCTCTGCGATATCGCTAAGGAGGAGTGACCTGAGAGGGAAGGAGCAGCAAGCAGGTGGGCAGGAAGGAGTGAGGAGTTCTGGACTTTGAGAGGGAGCAGGCCATGCTTAGGGACCCACCCCCACAGTGCACAAATTTTGTGCCCTGGGCAAATAAAAGGAGGAGAATGGAGCCAAATGCCAATAAACATTTCAACTAATATTATAGTTCCTTGTATAGCAGCACACTGGATCATAATTATACCTCGCTCCCACCTGTCCTTTAGCCTCAGAGGGAAAATAATCAGTGAAGAAGGGAGGGATTATCTGAGTTTAAGTATGATTTATGACAAATGAGTTATATTATAGTAGCAGTGAAATATTCTTCATAAATTATAAACTTGAGGGGAGCTAAATTTGAAAATTAATGAATTTTTGGAAACTTTGCTCTCCACAATAGGAAGTTACAATTTACTTTTCCCTTTTTGCTTACTGCATAGGCTGTTTTCACAAGTGTCTTCTTTTCCACAGGTAGAGCAGGATGCTCCTTTAGTGTAAGGTTGTTTTCCTATATAATTTCCTCTGGAAAAAAAGGGAAACATTGAGTAGTCAAATGGCTATTTACTCCTCTACTTTACTTATTTTTTTGGTGGCTCATTAGGTCATGAATGTTGAAAGGAAAATGACTCCCCCCCCCAAAATTTATGCCAACTTATATTGTAAAAAGATGCTTTAAAACTGATCTCTACATCATATTCTCACTATGTCAAAATTATATCCTTTAAAATTAAATTTTTATTGATTTTTTAGAGAGGAAGGAAGAGAGGGAGAGAGAGAGAGAAAGAGAGAGATTAATTTGTTGTTTCACTTATATATTCATTCCTTGGTGGGTTGATTCTTGTATTAAAACTGCAATCTTGCCGGGACTGGTTTGGCTCAGTGGATAGAGCGTCGGCCTGAGGACTGAAAGGTCCCGGGTTCGATTCTGGTCAAGGGCATGTACCTTAGTTGTGGGCACATCCCCAGTAGGGGGTGTGCAAGAGGCAGCTGATCGATGATTCTCTCTCATCAATGTTTCTAACTCTCTATCCCTCTCTCTTCCTCTCTGTAAAATATCAATAAAATATATTAAAAAAAACCAAACTGCAATCTTGATGAGCCAGACCAATGTTCTAACCAACCGAGCCACCCAGCCAGGGAGTTATATTCTTTAATATGTAATAAAACAAATTAGATATGAAACCAGTGTAGTTATGTATATAATAGCCAAAATTATTTTTTGTTTGTTTTTGTAGGGCACTAAGATTATCTCTTTATTTTGTAAGTGGAATGAGCAAATTTTAAATAGCAAATGGAAACATATGCTTTATGGCTTATTTTTAAAGTAAATATCATCATCCTTATCTAGTCCTGCTTGATGATATACCAAAATAATGGTACCATTTGGATGACCATTTGACAGATATTATAATACCTGCTTTTCAATAGCATAAGCTGATACATCCTAACAAACCTGCTTTTTTCCATCTCAGTGTTTGTGGTAAACTTTAAAAATGTTACTTAAACTACCCGAAGAAAACATTAATAACATTAGCAATATTCCATTAAAGAATAAGCCACAATTCATTTATCCATGCATACGTTTATCGACATTTGTGTTGTTCCAATTTTTTACTATTACATATTAAATAATTATGCACATTTTGAACATTCATATATTTCATACATTTCCTTGACTACATCTCTAGGAGTGAAATAAGTAGATCATATGGTCAGTGCATATTTAACTTTTAAAGAAAGTTCTACACTGTGTGCAAAATATTTGTGACACTTTATATTCCCACCAGCTGTGGTTGAGAATGCTAGTCCCTTCACATCTTCCTCTGGATTTAGAATGGCCAGTCTTTAGCACAATTGTAGTGTAGCGATAGTCATTGTGGTTTTCATTTGTATTTCCCTAGTTATTAATGATACTGAGGTTTTTTATCATTGCTTTTCTGCCAGCTGCAACTTTTCTTTATTAATCTTTTATGCATTTTTTTATTTTTTAAAGTATTCTTGATATTGAATTGTAACAGCTCTCCCTAAATTATTGGTACAAGTCTTTTATCTGATATATTTTGCAAAGACTTTCTTTTACTCTGTAGCTTTTTTTTCATTCTCTTACCAATGTCTTTGAATAATTGTGATTTTAATGCAATCCAAGATGTCAATTTGTTCTTTTATGGATCATGCTTTTGGTGTGTTAGCTAAAAATTGTTGGCTATGTTAAGGGTACAAAGTTTTTATAGTTTATGTTTTACATTTAGATCTTAGATTAGTTTTGAGTTATTTTTACAGGTTTTATTTTGTGCAAATTCAAGTTTGATTTTACATATAGTGTACTATATATTGATATACTTTATATAGGTATAGCTAGATAACATTTTGTTCCAACAGCATTTGTTGAAAGAAATTTTTTCTACTGTATTGCCTTTTTGTATTTATTAAAAATCAGTTGAACACATGTGGTCAGTCCTGTTTAGATTTAATTTTGAAGTCCTCATTCTGTTCTATTGATCTATTTGTCTAACTTTATGTCAATATCACAATGTTGTGATTATTCTAGCTATAATAATTCTTGAAAAACAATAGTGTTAGTCCTCTAAATTTGTTCTTTTTCTTAGTGGTTTTGGCTAGTTTACGTCCTTTTTATTCTCATATCAATTTTAGGATCAAGGTTTCTCAACATTTATAATAAAGAATTAGAATTATGTTGAATGTATATATTAATTTAGTGAAAAACTACATTTTAGCAATATTTAGTCTTTTACCCTATTAAAAAAGTATATATATTTATTTGTGTATGTTATTTCATGAAGAATTTATAATTTTCAATGCACAGGTCCTTTATACCTTCTGCCAGAATAATTCCTAGATAATATATATATCATGAAAAAATATTTGTACCATCTTCCTTTGTAAAAATAACTATCTGAATGCATTTCCATAGTATATTACAGTTAAGTACTTCATTACATTATTAGCACTCAGTAGTGGTAAGAGTATTAAACTGTGCTTGAGAAGATTCAGATTTGCTCAAAATCATTTACTGAATTCAATCATTTTCCTTATTTCTATAGTCATGGCATTTTTCAGAGTTATTCAACCCCAATTTACATAAGAAAACATACAGACAAAATCCCACTGAAATCATCAAACAGTATTCTATGTTGTTACAAATGTGTCATGCAAAATAGTACATTGGCACCCGATTTGTATCATCCTGCTTCACAAAGATATATTGCATATGATAATTTATATTTTTAAGCTATTATAAATGATAATGTCATTTTATTTTTGCTTATAATTGTTCATTGCCAGTATATGGGTATGTAATTGAGTTTTGTATCTTGATATTGTATTAGTTCTAGAAGAGTATTTATGGACTCCATTAAATTTTCTACATAGATCTACAGACAAGCAATGAGCAAAGTATGACCCTTAGCTAAGAATTAATTTTTTATATTTTAAAGTGTTATTTGAAATACAAAAACACAAAGATGGAATATAATAGAAGGGGACAATTTGCATAGTAGCATATATAGGATGCTTCTTGTAGGCAGCATATAATTGGTTCTTGGATTTTTATCTAATGTCACAATCTCTACCTTTTCACTTGGGTGTTTGTAGCATTTATATTTGATATAGTTATTCACATAGTTAATATTTTGGCTATCTTCTTATTAATTGTTGTATCTGTCATTTTTTTTTAAACTTATACATGTGTCATACTCATTTCTGTTGCTAACTGAGGAGTAGAATAAATACAAGAGGAGATATATAAATTTGGCCTCTCCGTAGCAATTTTGACATATCTCAGCTTCTTTTACCAATCTTATGTATTTATTCTATATTTAGATTTTCATCTTTTGTATATTTTATTTTAATATTTTTGTTTTTAAATGGTTAAGTTGTGGGTGAATTTTAACTTGTTTCTTGTACAGATCAATGGGATTAGAATTCCAGAATTTTATTTTTGGAGCCTCCCATTAGGCTCATATTATATTTCCATTTAGGTACACAATAATAAAAAAGACAATAAAATGTATGCTAATTTTTCTTCAGAAAAATATGCTTTTCATTATCATTCAGAATCACTTGCTCATTCCAGTTATGTTCTGCTATATTAGGAAGCAGCTGCCAGTCTATTTTGTGTTCTAGTACTTAGTGTGGCGATGCATTTTATGTTATCTGTTGTTCTATTTAACAAAGAATGTCCATCACTTTTACTCTGAACATTAAATATCTCATGGTAGGTGTAATTCTTTACATAAGATAATATTCTTTCACCACTTTCTATTTTCATCTATTTCTTATTTTTTAAAATATATTTTATTGATTTTTTACATAGAGGAAGGGAGAGAGATAGAGATCCAGAAACGTCGATGAGAGAGAAACGTCGACCAGTTGCCTCTTGCACACTCCCTATCAGGGATGTGCCCACAACCAAGGTACATGCCCTTGACCGGAATCGAATCCGGGACCTTTCAGTCCCAAGACCAACACTCTACCACTGAGCCAAACTGGTTTCAGCTATTTTCATCTATTTCTTTTATCATCATTATAGAGGGAGACTTCATTTAGTAAATATTCATTTATTAAATATATAAATAAATATAACATTTATTTTAATATAAAGTATTTTTAAAAGCAAAATAACTTACGCAGGTCCATAGTTACATACGAAAATTAGTGAGTCACTATATCCAAGGTTAGGACAAATTGTCATTGCACAACCAACTTTGTGTGAATCAGCCCAAACTACCTATAAGAAAAGGAATTCTTAATTAAAATATGAGAAACACCTCTGTGCCACAATGCACTATAGGAATAGCTATAATCTTAGACATGTGATAAAAATGAGTAGACATAAATTCTTATTGGCTATTTTCATTTGGAATATTTAGTGTAAAACAATTTTTTAAAAGGCTGCTTTATTGAAAGCTACATAACTAGCCAAGGCACATTATAATTAAAGTGGCAAACAACAGCGACAAAGTAAGAATCTTAAAAGCAGCCAGAGAGAGACAGAAAGTTACATACAAAGGAACTCCCATCAGACTAGCAACTGATTTCTCAACAGAAACATATCAGGCCAGAAGGGAATGGGATGAAATATACAAAATCATGCAAAGGAAGGGTCTGAATCCAAGAATACTGTACCCAGCAAGGCTATCAATCAAAATTGAAGGAGAAATCAGTAGCTTCACAGACAAAAAAAGACTGAAGGAATTTATTTACACCAAACCAGCAATGCAAGAAATGCTAAAGGGTCTACTGTAAAAATAAAGAAATAGGAAGTGAAGAAGGAACACGGGTATAGAATAAAAATGGCGTCAAATGAGTACCTATCAATAATAACCTTAAACGTAAATGGATTAAATGCTCCAATCAAAAGACATAGGGTGTCAGATTGGATAAGAAAACAAGACCCATACATCTGTTGTCTACAAGAAACCCACCTCAGAAAAAAAGATGCACACAGACTGAGGGTGAAGGGATGGAAAAAAGTTTACCAGGCAAATGGAAATGAAAAAAAAGCTGGTGTAGCAATACTTATATCTGACAAATTAGATCTCAGAGTGAAGGACATAACAAGAGATAATGAAGGCCACTTCATAATACTAAAGGGAACAATCCAATAAGAAGAAATAACCCTGATAAATATATATGCACCCAATATAAGAGCACCCAAATACATAAAAAAGCTGCTGGAGGACATTAAGGGAGAGATTAATAGCAATACAATCATAGTAGGAGATTTTAATACCCCACTGTCACCCTTCGACAAATCATCTAAACAAAAAATCAGCAAAGAAATATCAATCCTAAATGACTCACTAGACCAGATGGAATTAATTGACATCTTCCGAACATTCCACCCCAAAGCCACAGAATATACATTCTTCTCAAGTGCACATGGGACATTCTCAAAGATAGACCACATTTTGGGACATAGGCAAAGTCTCTTCAAATTCAAGAAGATAAAAATCATATCAAGCATCTTCTCAGATCATAATGGCATAAAACTGGAAATTAACTACAATAAAAATAATCCAAAGAAATCAAACACATGGAGACTAAACAACATGCTATTAAACAAGGAATGGGTTACCAGAGAAATCAAGGAAGAAATTAAAAACATCCTGGCAACAAATGACAATGAAAACACAACAATCCAAAATCTATGGGACACAGCAAAAGCAGTTTTGAGAGGGAAGTTCATATCCTTACAAGCCTATTGCAAAAAACTAGAAAAAAGGCTAACAAATGATCTAACTCTACAACTCAAAGAGTTAGAAAAAGAGCAACAAGAAAAACCCAGTGTAAGCAGAAGGAAGGAAATAACAAAAACCAGAGCACAGATAAACGACATAGACACCAAAAAAACAATACATAAGATCAACAAAACCAAGAGCTGGTTCTTTAAAAGGATAAACAAGATAGATGGACCTCTAGCCAGGCTAACCAAGAAATAAAGAGAGAGGACCCAAATAAACAAAATCAGAAATGAAAGAGGTGAAATAACAACAGACCCAACCGAAATACAACAGATTGTTACAAAATACTACGAGCAACTCTATTCCAACAAATTGAACAACCTGGAGGAAATGGACATATTCCTAGAAAAATACAAACTGCCAAAACTCAATCAGGAAGAATCTAAAAATCTCAATAGACCAGTGACGTGGGAAAAAATTGAAACAGTCATCAAAAATCTTCCAGCAAACAAAAGCCCAGGGCCAGATGGCTTCACAGGAGAGTTTTACCAAACATTCAAGGAAGAACTAAAACCCATCCTCCTCAGATTACTCCAAAAAATCCAAGAGGAAGGAATACTTCCAAACTCCTTCTATGAAGCCAGCATCACCCTAATACCAAAACCAGACAAAGACAACTCAATGAAAGAGAATTACAGGCCAATATCCCTCATGAACATAGATGCCAAAATCCTCAACAAAATTCTAGCAAATCGACTCCAGAAAAACATCACAAAGATCATACACCATGACCAAGCAGGATTTATTCCAGGAATGCAAGGATGGTACAATATCTGCAAATCAATAAACGTGATACATCACATAAACAAATTGAAAGATAAAAATCATATAGTCATATCAATTGACGCAGAAAAAGCATTTGATAAAATCCAACACCCCTTCCTGATAAAAACTCTTAACAAGGTGGGAGTACAAGGATCATACCTCAACATAATAAAAGCTATATATGATAAACCCACAGCCAACATTATACTCAATGGGCAAAAACTAAAACCGTTCCCTCTAAGAACAGGAACAAGACAGGGATGCCCACTCTTGCCACTCCTGTTTGACATAGTTCTGGAAGTACTAGCCATTGCAATTAGACAAGAGGAGGAAATAAAAGGCATCCAAATTGGAAAAGAAGAAGTAAAGTTATCCTTATTTGCAGATGACATGATATTGTACATAAAAAACCCAAAAGACTCCATTAAAAAACTAATTGGCTTAATAAATGAATTTGGCAACGTAGCAGGATACAAAATTAATGCCAAGAAACCCATGGCATTTCTATACACCAACAGCGAAACTACAGAAACAGAGGCTAAAAAAGCAATTCCATTTACCATTGCACCAAAAAAATTAAGATATCTAGGAATAAATTTAACTAAGGAAGTAAAGGACCTATATGCAGAAAACTACACGACACTGAAAAAAGAGATAGAGGAAGATGTAAGGAGATGGAAGAACATACCATGTTCATGTATTGGTAGAATCAACATCATCAAAATGTCCATACTTCCTAAAGCAATCTATAAGTTCAATGCACTCCCCATTAAAATATCAACGACATATTTCACTGACCTAGAAAGAACTCTCCAAAAGTTCATTTGGAACAATAAAAGACCCCGAATAGCCACAGCAATCCTGAGAAAGAAGAGTAAAGTAGGAGGGATTTCAATACCAGACTTCAAACTATATTACAAAGCCACTGTTCTCAAAACAGCCTGGTACTGGCACAAAAACAGACATATAGATCAATGGAATCGAATTGAGAACCCAGATATCAACCCAAATCACTATGCTCAATTAATATTTGACAAAGGAGGCACGAATATACAATGGAGTCAAGACAGTCTCTTCAATAAATGGTGTTGGGAAAATTGGACAGACACATGCAAAAGAATGAAACTAGATCACCAACTTACACCATTCACAAAAATAAACTCAAAATGGATACAGGACTTAAACATCAGACAGGAAACCATAAAAATACTAGAAACATCCACAGGCAGCAAAATCTCCGACGTATGCCAAAAGAACTTCTTCACTGATACTGCCCCTAGGGCAATGGAAGCTAAAGAGAAAATAAACAAATGGGACTACATCAAAATAAAAAGCTTTCTTACAGCAAAAGAAACCATCAACAAAACAACAAGAAAGCCCACAGTGTGGGAGAACATATTTGCAAATAATACCACTGATAAAGGTTTAATCTCCAACATCTACAGACAGCTTATACAAATAAATAAAAGGAAGATGAATGATCCAATTAAAAAATGGGCAATGGACCTAAATAGAATATTTTCAAAAGAAGACAGAAGGAAGGCTAAAAGGCACATGAAAACATTCTCAAAGTCACTAATTGTCCGAGAGGTGCAAATCAAAACAACAATGTGGTACCATCTCACACCTGTCAGAATGGCCAACATCAACAAATCAACAAACAACAAGTGTTGGCGAGGTTGTGGAGAAAAAGGAACCCTCGTGCACTGCTGGTGGGAATGCAGACTGGTGCAACCACTGTGGAGAACAGTGTGGAGTTTCCTCAAAAAACTGAAAATGGAACTCCCATTTGACCCAGTAATCCCACTTCTAGGAATATATCCCAAGAAACTAGAAACACCAATCAGAAAGGATATTTGCACCCCTATGTTCACAGCAGTACAATCTACAATAGCCAGAATTTGGAAACAGCCTAGGTGCCCGTCAGCAGATGATTGGATCCAAAAACATTGGTACATCTACACAATGGAATACTATGCTGCCATAAAAAAGAAGGAATTCTCATCATTTGCAGCAACCTGGATGGAATTGGAGAACATCATGCTGAGTGAAATAAGCCAATCAATGAAAGAGAAATACCACATGACCTCACTCATTGGTGGACGATAAAGCTCTTTATAAACTGATGAACCAAGAGACAGAAATAGAGAAAGTAAAGCAACAGGCAGACTGTCAAATTACAGTGGGGAGGGGAGGAAGATCTGGGGGAGATAATAGATCAACCGAAGGACTTGTATACATGCATATAAGTACAACCAATGGACATAAAACTCTGGGGAGGGAGGGGATGTGTGTGAGGGAGGGAGGGGGGTAAAAAAAATCAATAAAATATGTAAAAAAAAAATTCTGTATGCAAAACAGAAAAAAAAAATAAACAAGCTGATGATTTTCACTTAAAAAAAAATATGAAAGCTACCTAACTAGATTTTTCTCACTTATAATTCTCATAAATCAAATAATATAATATGCAGTCAAAATAATATTATTTTAGATAATTTATGAAAACATTATTTTCTCCATGGATATATAATACAAATAATATTGAAATCACAGTGTAAATAAAACAACTATAGGCTTTTATTTTTTTTCCTCTAAAACCTTTTATTAGTACTTAGTTGATGATCACATTTTAAAAGTTGTGGTCTTAACCATAATCTTACTTCTGTCTATTTATAAGACACAGATAGAGACTAAGAATATATTGAGTTTATTGCAAAAA